TGCTGAGAAATGAATTATAATGCAAAGGGGAACAAAGAGTTGGCATAATAGGGTTCATTTTTGCGTAAAGCCAAAGTTGCAATATTTTAATGTTTTTAAAGCATAGTTTTAAACTCGGTCCTATATCTAAGCAATATTATCACGGTTGTGAACCCACGCATACCAGCTTTAAACTCAGGTTAACCACCTGTCCAAAGTGTCATGAATTCCATCCATCGCTTAGAAGAAAAACACTAACTTGGGTACATTGCTAGGCTTGCCCATAACTGAGGGCGCGGCTATTCGGATAGTTTTACTCTGATCAGAGGTGTACATCTTTACCCACAAGACACAATACTTGACTTCATGTCAGCCATGAATCATGATACCTCAAAGGTACCCGAAAAGTCAAGATTGTGACAAGACTATCCACCTACCTCAACCCAAAACAGAAGGACCTGCTAAGGTTTCGCCGCCCGCCGGTCCCCGACAAGGTAAAGGTTGCCGGATCCCCCAGGATGAGACAGGCCCCTTCTTGCGCCAGGTCAAAGTCGGCCTCCCCTGGCCCCAGACCTATCATACCAATGGCCTTTGTTTTGAGATGATCTAGACTTCTAGTCAGGCCTTACCAATTAGACTTGTGGTTGCACTGTTATGTTTCGCAACAGAGGCCTGAAGACTGGTCCTTGTAGTGACCGAGGTGCTTCTAACAAAACCATGCACCTCGCGCCCCACCAAAAAAAATAGGTTTAGGGAGTTTTGAATGAGATTCCACCATGTCCAAGCTCAACCAGTCACCTAATCATCATTCTTACATATTTTAGTTGTTACCCACAGTCTAATTTATAGAAAGGGATTCTATGTTAGATCTAAGCATAGATAAGCCCAACCTAGAGCAACTAGTAAGTCCATCATATAGGGAACCATACTAGTCATTTTATCATTTTACTAAGGTTGACAAGAGCATGGGTAGCAATTCAATAACATGGCTATATAACGAGGATCACAGGAATATTAACTATTAAATAAATAATAGTGAACGTTATATAATTTATAAAAGTGATGCATATAGAAGTAAAACAACATAGTTTTTTTTGCAAAAATGGGATTCAATATGTTCAAGGAATATGGTATGACTTGCCTTGCTCGAAGAGAAGGTCTTCTGACAACTTGACCTGCACTTCGGGAACTTCCGAAACGACGACAGCTACACGAAAAAAAAACAGGGCTACAAATCTAAGAAAGAAACGATAACAATACATAACAACATCAAACACCGGTTCCTTAAGTTATAACAAAAATTAAACAATTTGAACGAGTCAATTAGGAGCTCGTATGGCCGAGAAACGACCAACCGAATTTTAAGTGCAATTAAAATGGATATTTCAGAGTTGTTTAATTATTATTATTATACCATTAAATTATGTGCAATGAAATATCGCTCGTAGAAAGAAAGGATCAAGCGACAGGCAGCCGGGACTACCACGTGAGCTGTATATGTGGGCAATCCACACGTCGACCACACGGTGAGGACGAGGATAGGGAAGCGAGGGAAGAGGTTCTCACCACGGGCACGACGCGGCAAGGGAACAACGACGGCGACCAGCGACAACCTTGGCGTGGTGACGACGAACGGAGGAGGGCGACAGAGATGAACGGGTCGACAACAAGGGGATGGCTCCGACGGTCTTCAGGCTTGGCATAGAGGCGGAGGACAACGGGCTTGGCACTGTGGACTTGACGACGATGAAGACGGGCAGCACTTCATCTTGACGGGAACGACGACCGGAGGGAGGCGAGGCGATGGGGCGGCGTTCCAAGAGTCTTCGGGCAGCGAGGAGACGTGGTCGATGATGAAGGTGACGAGATGAAGCCGACAGCAGCGACGGCGCAGTGAGGCAATGCTCCGGCGAGGAGGGAGGGCTACCAGAGAGCAAGGATGAAGGCTACATCACCACTGCTCACCAGCGAGGACGAGTTTCCGGCGGTCTCCAGGAGAAACGGAGGTGAGGCCGGGGAAGAGGAGGCCGCTGCGAAGCCGATGGTGGCGACGCCGGGCTCCGATGAGGACCCGACCGCCGGCGAGGGGCGGCCGGAGTTGCACGACAGCGGCGGCACGGGAAGAAGGCAGCACAGCGGCCAGGGAGAGAGGAGGAGGAGGGCTGCGGTGTGTGGGGAGAGAGGAGGCGGTCAGGGCTCCCTTTTATACGCCGGGGTGGAGGAGGGGGATGGCCGGGAGAGGAGGGGAAAGACCAGGGAGCTCGCTGGCCGGTCATCAATGACGGCCACAAATTTTACTCTTGGTTGATTATCCAAAACAGGGTGTGGACTGTAGATAGACTCCAAGCGAGACAGTGGCCAAACCAACTCCTATGCCTTTTATGCCGCTCTGTGCCAGAAACGGCAATCCACCTACTAGCCCACTGTAGGTTGTCGAAGAGAATTTGGAGTTCAATTGAAGCCTGGCTGCAGTTTGATCTCCACCTCTCTGAATGGACCAACTTCCTCACTGTGCACGACTGGTGGTCCTTCCTACTAAAAATTCCAAGCAGCTCGAGGAAAGCCCAAAAATCCCTTGTCATTCTTGTTTCCTGGGAACTTTGGAAGGAGAGGAACTCTAGAATTTTCAACCACTTGGCAAATACCCCGACCAATATCATTGCAAAGATTAAGGAGGAGGCTAAAATGTAGGTGACAGCGGGGGCGAAATGGTTGACGGAGATACAACTATTGGGAGAATAAAAACACTGCTTTCGGTCGGGGAATGACCTAAACTCCCATAATGTATATATTGTTATGTACTCCCTTCTCTATCAATATATAAGGCAAATTTCTTGCCTTCTTTTCAAAAAAAAATGACGGCAGTTCATCGGAGGGTAAATTCGGCGAATCAAGGCCGAATTAAGAGGGGAGAACGTGGGGGAATTGATGATGAGGAGGAGAGGAACCGATTTTTGGTAGAGGAGAACGAGTGGGGAGGGAGATCAAGAGGGGCCGCGGCGCTTCTGTTCTTTGGCTGGGAGAAGAACAGGCGGCGGTCAGCTGGAGGAGGAAGACGACCGGCTGCTGGGCCAGCTGGGCCGCAGGGGGAAGAGGAATGGACTTTGTCCGAGGGAGAGGAAGGAGAGTTGGGCCGAGCAAGGGAGGGGAGGAGATGGGCCACGGAGAAGGAAAAAGGCCCAGGAGGGAGGGAGAGGAGGATTTGGGGCCGAAAATGGCCCAAAGAGAAGAAGAGAATTATTTTTAGCTTTTCATTTTTAATTAACTCTTAACTTGGTTTTTGTTGCATTTAAATTATTTTTTGTGCTCTGAAAATTCAAGTAAAAAATTGAGGGACCAATTTAGAGCATGGAGGATTTAAAAAAAAATACTCCAAGCCATATTCAGATTTTTGTTGTATGCATTTTAATGTTTGCCTATTTAACTTCGAATTTTAATTAATTTTATTATTCCTTTTAGAGAATGATTTTTAATTTAGGATGGATTTATCAGGGCGTGACAAATTCACCCCCTACAAGAATCTCGCCCTTGAGATTCGAAGGGTTAGAAAGAAGGTGGGTTCGGAAAGTCTTTGATTTGCCTTCTCATTCTTTGAACAGCTTCCACTTTTATCTTGAATGATCTAACCAGATCCTTCAATAGTGAATCATGTAATCTTTCAATAATAAATCATGCGTTCCTTTTCCGTTCTATGTTTCTCTAGTACTCGTGTCGATTTTTGTCATAGTCAATAGCTTGGTTTCACCCTGATTCTTCCATTTTTAGCTTTTATCTGAGTTGCGAGCACTTGGAGGTGTTGCTTCAATTCTGAGTCTGAGATCTACAACATTTGTATATGTCTTTGATTTGGACAGGGGAGGAGGAGATGAATTAGGGTTAAGGGGTCTGCACGAATCTTAAAGCATATCTAATGGTCCAAAATTTAAAAGATAGGAGGTAGAATTTTTTGTAAACAAATATGTAGATAGTTTCTTTTTAGTATGGCCCAGCCCATATGTTCCAATGAGAGATGTTGGCAACGCATCTGCGCGGAATAGGCTTTCTCACTTAAAAGTGATAGGAGTCAGTACAAGTAGGATAGAGAGTATTGTATGCCCTGGATTTTGCGCACGAGCTACGGTTTGCATCATGTTCAAGTTCACATATGGTGAACACAATTTACTCTACAAATAAATTATGATAAAAATCTGAGAAATGACATTGACAAGCGTCCCAATCCATGAAATGCCATCGACAAACCCAACTTCCTAGAAATACCATCGTACAAGCGCTTGTGTCCCAGAAATACCGTCGCTGTTAAGTTTCCATTAGTAGACCTCCGTTAAGTGTTATAAAATATCATTTTACCCCTACAAATTGTTGAAAGATGATTACAACTTTTACTCTTTCTGACAATGTACAATAATTTAGTTTAAAGAGCAAACTACAAATTAGTATAAGCTAATGGAAAGAGTAAAAGTTTTAGTCAACTTTTAACAATTCATATGGGTAAAATGATCTTTTTATAGCACTTAACGGAGGGATGCTAACGGAAACTTAATGGCGATGTCATTTCTAGAATAAAAACGCTTGTACGATTGCATTTCTAGGAAGTTGGGGATAACATTTCTGAATTGGAGCGCTTGTCAATGATATTTCTTGGATTTTCTCATAAATTATTTAAAAAACTTCACATACAAAATATAAATTACTTTTGGTTACACTGTTATTTTTATGAAATTTGCCACTGGACCCACCTATCAAGGCTCACATGTTATATACAGCGAGTGACAAATTCTTAATTGCCACATTTTAAAAGTGGCAAATAGTTAAATGTCGCTATTTTTATACGGCAATCAGTTTTTAAAACCGAAGCGGCTGACAAGGTGTACAATATTTCTTTCTTTTATAAAACTGGCTAATGGAAGTTCACTTTTGTTTAATTTAATGAAAAAACAGAATTACTTTAAGAAAAAGGAGATTCGGTGTTCGAGCCTCAGTGGCTGAACTGAACTGAACTTACAAAAACTGACCGTTATCTCTTCTCCGCCTCACCTTTCCCCCCTCTCTCTCTCCCACGCACTCTCGCCTTCTCCACACAAAGCTCGCAAATGGCGATCTCCACCTGGAGCACGCGCCTCCTCCTCTCCCCCTCCGCCTCCGCCTCGAGCCATAGACCTAACCCTACCCGCCGCCTCGCCTTCCCCTCCCCCATCTCCGGCCCCGGCCGCCAGGCTCCCCGCGCCTACATCTCCGCGCCGGCGTCCGGCCCCGACGCCTACCCGTCCCCGGCCCTCGACGCCGCGGCGGCGGCGGCGGACGTCGCCGCGGCCATCGCCTCCTCGGACGCCGTCACGTGGGCGGGGGTCTGGGCCCTCCTGTCGCCGCACAGGGCCCGCATCGCGGTCTCCCTCGCGGCGCTCCTCGCGTGCACCACCTGCACCCTCTCCATGCCGCTCTTCTCAGGTTGGTTAGGTTGGGGTGGTTGGTTCAGGGCACACACACGCCTCTTGCGCGCTGATGCTGGTTTGGTTGTGAGATGTGTGATGTGATGTGATGTGATGTGGGCGTGTGGCTTGGTTTGGATGGCAGGGAGGTTCTTCGAGACGCTGATAGGAAGGGGCTCCGAACCCCTGTGGAGGCTGCTGTCCAAAATCGCCGTGCTGTATACGCTGGAGCCCATATTTACAATCGTATTCGTGATCAACATGACCGTGATCTGGGAGAAGGTGATGGCGAGGCTCCGGAGCCAAATATTTCGCAGGATTCTAATCCAGAAGGTAATTTTGCTTTAGCTCATTAGCTGTGTAACGGTTGCATTGCACCTACAAGTATTTACAGTAGCAATTACAATTGCCAGACTTGGGGTAAAAAGATGTTGGGTTATTCCATATGATCGCCTAAGTTCTGTTTGCTCATTGGGTATGCAGCTGCTTCAATCATGTCCAAATAACTAATTTTAGGCATGGTTGCGCTTACACACGAGTCCTTTGCTACTACTGTATCATTTGTATGATGAATAAGTTAAAAGCTGCTAAGTGGGTAGCAACTTAGTTCATATGCTTGTTTTTGGATTGTTTACAAATTATGCCCACATTAGTTTTAATACCATTATGAAATTATTCATCCCATTCTATTACCAGGTTGCATCAACACTTAGTAGGTTTTACTAGGGTGAAGTTGTTCGTTGAGGTCTCCTATGCTTTGCACATTGTACATTAATGAAATATGAAGGACTAGGGACATACTGTGTGGAGTTAACGTAGGTAGTACTAATGCATCGTGAAAATATATTTTTTTATTGTGCATGATTGTGTAGCCTTGAGGGGCGATAATGCACTGCTTCTTCATCTTAGCAATTTGGCATTCACCAACATGGTTATATCAGTTTTCATTAGTCATTTCATAGTTTATGTTGATAATGAATGATTTATTCTGTTTGGTTGTTTGCAGATGGTATTCTTTGATCGTCACAAGGTACCGACTACCAGCATACCACATTCATATTAAATTGTCACAATTAGTTAGAGAAAGATAACTTCATTTGTAAGATATTGTTCCTACTAAATTGAAAATCTTTGTATTTTTATGTTCAGTGTCTGTATTCAAGTTTTCAAATCATCCAACACGGATTTTGCTTTGTGAAAAATATAGTTGAGCAATGTAGATAGGTAGCTTGGTAAGCCACTTTTTCCTTCTTCCATTATGGAAGGCATGTAATTAATGTTGGGTTAGGGTTATGCAAAAAAAAAATGTTGGGTTAGGGTGTGTGGATAGTGATAACAGTGAAAGATTTACTTCTAGGTTAAAAAATAACTAGATCTAATTCAATTTACCAAGAAAAATGGTGGCTATGATCAGTGTATTATGCATTATCTGAATTAGTAAAGCAGTCATTGTTTAGCTTGGTCTGTTATACAAGTTATAGAGAATTTTCTTTCATACCAAAGTACATTTTTTCTGAAAATTATGCAAATGAAAGGATACACTGCTGATTATTCCTTGCGTGTGTTCTATGTTGCTTCAAAAATTTTACGAATAAAAGAACCTTACTATCATTTGATGGCAGGTTGGCGAGTTGACTGGTTTGTTGACATCTGATTTGGGTACTTTGAAGAGTGTCGTAAGTGACAACATATCAAGGGATCGTGGGCTAAGGGCACTCTCTGAGGCAAGAAACTTTACACTATGAGAATGTAAGCTTGATACTGCTAATGGCCTAGAATTTGCGCTATACAATCACTGAATCACATATTCTCTCTGTGCTATTAGCAATGCTTTCAAAAATACTGACATCTCGAAGCATTATTGACCAGTTAGTCCATTTATATCATATACTTGATTATTTGGAAATCATGCCATTACCTGTAAGGTCAATTATCTCAGCATCTTCTAAAGCAGTTTTTCCTCTTTTCTTTTTCTCCAGATCACCGGTACACTTTGTATACTTTTCACATTATCCACTGAGCTAGCTCCTGTACTAGGACTCCTAATGGTCTCTGTCTCCGTGCTAGTTGGTAATTATCCAAATGATGACTGATGCCATTTACTATTCATTATTCTCTATATCACATGTCTTTAAGCGTAGAATGACTTTCAATCTTTCATCATCCTGAGGTCCATCATATGTTCTAGAAACAAGCTGATTTGTGGTAAATATCACACATTAGTTTTGTCAGGTCCTTACCGTGGAAGCTGGTCCCTCATGTCTTATACGTTTCTAGTTAGCTGTTGATAATGAATTGGGCCTAAATTTAATCACCACACTTGATTTTTTATTTCTCTGTGAAATATATGGGTGCTATGCTGAACCATCCCTGGTATTTTGCTAATGCAAAATAGAAGTCCTATTTAGGAATTTGCATGAGTGGAATGATATTGAATTATTGATTTGGGAGCTTTTGATGCAAATGTCCATAATGTTATTTTTTAGTTTGAAGTAATTGATTAGACATATTTGAGATGATACAGAACTTTGCAAATAAGAAATAATACCTTTTTTACTGGCTCGTAAAGTTTCACCTTTTGCTCTGCTTTTATTTCTTTCTTAGATCATTGCCGCGGATATTTCCTTCATGTTATTCTTGAACTTATATATGTTCGATGTTGTTTGATTATAGTATTTTACAATTTCATTGAGTGATTTGTCTTCCAAATATATTTTTGTCTTGAAGGATTAACATAGTGTGGCCTTCTAAAAAGATATTATTTACTGAAGTAGTGTTGGCAGTTGTATGTCAATTTTCAAAAGCATTTATGATCTGACAAGCTATTTTTATTAAATCAGCTCTTTTCAAGAGGTCAACTGTTCCCACATTTAAATCTTATGGAATTGTCCAAGCACGTATATCAGACACTGCATCAGAAACATTTTCAGCTATTCGTACTGTGAGTATTTTTTCGTCAGAATTGTATACTTCCTTGTAATACTTGCATTAATAGATTTTATCTCTTTATTCTGTTAAATACCAGTCCACATACTTGGGGGTTATCCTTATTTTAGTCAAAAATACATTTGCAGGTTAGGTCATTTGGGGGTGAAAAACGACAAATTTCTATGTTTGACAATTTGGTAAGTCTTATGGCCTTTCACCTATGCACTTCTCGGGCCATCCATTAGAATATTACTCTCATTGTTCATTTCTCTATTACGTAGAAGGAAATGTGTCATTCTACCAATCGTTATTTATATTAACTGGAGATTTGTAAAACTCCACATTAATCCTAGGAGGTAAAACGATGATAAATCCCCACTATGTAAAATAAAAGGGTAGATATGCCCACATTAATTGGAAAAAGAGAGAGAGAGAACATCATATCCATCCAAGTTATTGCACAGACATCATGAAGCGTTAATTTGACTTATGTGTTATTGTAGTATTGTACTGGTCCCCATATAATGTGTTGAAAAATGTCCAAGTCTTTATCTGATTTGGATTTGGCAGATTCTGGAATGAAGGCCACATGTCTAACATACACTAATAGAAAAGCATTTGTAAAGTAGCTAACTATGTTATTTTCTTTCCTACAATTTAGTCTACTATATATGTTATAGACACAATACAAGAAAGGGTTACACATTTGTTCTTGAGGGCTAAATTTTTTTATATCAATTGGTGGAAAAGAGAGATTTACATCGTCTTTTGTTGTGAGCCCAAATTATAACTATGCATATTTCATGTTAGATTAATAATAATGAATTCCATGTTTTGCTCAGCTAATAATACTAACCTATACCAAAAAGTCAAATAGTTTACAACAAAATCAGACTACTTTATGTATTTGAGTAGAGTTATGATGGGTGGCTCTAAATTCTCTAAACCTGTTTGGTTTGCTCTCCATGCATAGTCACATATCCACAAGCTTGATAATAGTTTCTTTTTATGTTTTTTCAACATATTTTCTTCAAATTTTTAAACAAACTCTTCAAATACCTCTTATTAAAAATAAATCTTTTGGCAGCTTTGCTAGCAAATGTTTACATGCTATGAACCATGGTGTGGCAACAGTGACTTGCCACACCAACGTAAGTGCTGTGCCCAAATCCTTGCCAAGCCATTGTTTTTTAATCCTTGGCATTTTATGTGGCCATAAGGTTCAGTCTGGAAATAAGTTTCAAGAGGGTTTTGACAATTACATTCAAAAAAAGTACAAAAAGTAATAAAAATTTGATGATACTTATCAGTCATGACCTGCACTTACTACACCCATGAATCGATGCACAAGCTGTAGTGCCGCACCACGATCCAGTAAGGCATGATGTGGCATAACTTGGCATGGTTGCTAAGTGCTTGCTAGCTGTGTTGTCTGACCATGGTAATGCGTGCCGCTGCCAATTTGTGCTTACTATAAAAGGATCTTGAAACTGTAGATTTAATGCCATAAAAATTTAATGCATCTTGTCTATCAAATCCTGTTAGACAAGATAAGGTAAAACAACTATATTACAAAGGTTCATGCCTTTGTGGATGTGATCTTACCCTGTGAGAGCTTATATATATAATTGTATGAACCCATGCTCTAAAATGGTGGTAAGTAGTAACCAAACTTTCACCCCACCTCTTAACACTTAAAGCTATGTTAATCATTTGAGTTTTGTAAAAAAGTGGGAGCATTATATTTTGAAGGAAAAGAAGGTAATATTTGTAGCTTCTACATTGCCTTCGATATCTTGTTAATTCAAGTTTTTGTTTGGCAGGCACTTGCTTTCCAGAATAGTGGCACAAAACTAGGCGTGCTGAAATCTGCCAACGAGTCATTGACTCGGGTGGTAGTCTATGTTTCCCTAATGGCACTTTATGTTCTTGGTGGAAGCAAGGTTAATGCGGTAAGCCTCTGAATTGCTTGGAGTGTGATATTTACGTGTAACCTCATTTTCTAAAGCTGCAACACATTTCATGTAGTTTGGTTCTGCCATAGAATAAGTTCCATGTTATCCTGTAAAACATCCTGATAGTTTTTACAAGTACAAAACCGGGGGGGGGGGGGGGGGGGGTTGCGCTAGATTTCTGGTGGTTTTTCTGAATAGTAAAGCTATTCTATAAAGCATAATGGCCGTGTGAAGTGTCCTGAAGTATTTCCTTGTACAATGTAGAATGATCTACACTTTGATAGATGTCCCATCCCACCATACATGGAAATCTTAAAAGATGCATGAACAGTTCTTTAGATGTACAAGTGTGACTCATACAACAGCACTGAACCCCTGGACAATGGCTATCCAATGCTGAAATTTGCATAGATATTTTGTTGCTTCTGGGTTCTGGCCAATTCCATGGAACTTAGGTGCCCTCTAGTTTCTCCCTATGCGCAACACTAGGTCAGCTGCAGCCCGGAAGCCCTTTACCATGTGAATTTGTGCTATATGTATTGAATAAAATATTGTTAACACTTCTGGCAGCAAACATAACCACAGCTGTAGGATTAAGGACCTGCCTAAAGCTTCTCTTCCTTTTTGCCCGTAACTTTTGTTTAAGAAAATAATAAAACCACTTCAGCTTTTAGATCTAGCATGTGTTATACAAGAATTACCCTCAATTTGTACCATTGATATTCAGTATCTACAAGTAAACTAATTCACATCAGATACATCATCCAAATATTTCAGTATCAATACTAAAAATTGATTCTCTTGTATGCGCCGGTGCTCTCGAGTTGAATATCTATAGAAGTTCTCATTTTATTTAGGACCTCAATTTTAACTGTTGGAAACACATTTTATGCCTATCAAAAGACCACATGCATGCAACCATGTCAATTTTACTAACCTGTATGGTCATTTAGATATTTAATAATCATTTGTCTTGTCATTGAAATCTGAAAATATGATACACATGTATTTCAGGGAAAATTGTCTGTTGGAACCATGGCATCTTTTATTGGTTACACATTCACACTGACATTCGCTGTAAGTATCAGATTTTACTTATTGCATGACTTTTTGTAGCTTGATGTGTTTATTGTATTTTGGTCATCTTACTTGTCAGAACATGCATTTTAGGTTCAAGGAGCTGTTAATACTCTTGGTGATCTACGTGGGACATTTGCTTCTGTAGAAAGAATAAATTCTATTCTATCAGCAGAGGACATTGATGATTCACTTGCATATGGTTTAGCCAAAGAACTAGAAGATTCAAATGGTGCAGTGCACGAAAATGGCACTGCTAACAAACATTACATGTCAGCACTAAAATCATCAAGCAGCTGTAGTAATCTTGCCTGGTCTGGTGACATTCACCTAGAAGGTCTGCTCGCCACTATTCATATTTGTTTTATACATGCAGTTCTTTTTCCATTTCAAAATATTTTTATGCATATGCATATTTCTTTCATACTATAATCTTCTATACAATAATTTTTCTTAAGTAATTTGTCTCTAGTTCCACTAGGCAAGATGAAGAAGTTCAGAACTGGGATGCCAAAAAGAGCCAATTTGCATCTCACATAATAGGTTAATTTCCTTTTGTATCATAAAAACTACTAGATTAAGACAACAAAGGGGACACTCTCCTCTTCAAATGTTGCTGGAGTCATATCACTTGCTTGCCTAAACTACATTTGTTTTAGCTTATGTAGCATTTACATGGATAAGTTTATGTCGATGTGGCATCCATGTAGACAAATAACTCAGCAAAGCTCAATGATATAAAATAGCTCTGGCTGTCAGCTATCTCAGCCAAAACTCATGGGGCTTTACTTTGGTACTGCCTACACCCAGTTAGCTCTGCACTTGAAAAGCCAAATCAGCCACTGAACTCTTTTGTGTCAGTTGCCCCTGTTTGATTTTTCTATTCATGAAGCTTTCATCTTCCTTGAATATTGATTCATGCAAATGCGTAGCGCCATGACAGAGCAACCAGAGTAGGCAGGTCTAGTCTGTGAGCCTCAAGACAACTCCACTCATGTACATGTCACAGGGGCAGGGTAGTATGGGGTTGTGGTGGCTGGTAGTTTTGAGCTATAGAGCATAAGGCAAGGACATCAAGCAGTCGCACTGAAGCTCTAATGTTTGTGCAGAAGGGGCACAAAGTAGGTAGCCTTGCTATGTCCAATGAGAACTAGCTAGTATTTCTGAATTGTAAACGTCCAGGCAACAGGTTGTTTAGCGTGGAAACAAGCTCCTCCAGTGCCTAATATCTAAGTAAGAAGAAAACTCCATGAAAAGCAAGAACGAAAACAAATTGAGCTGTATGAAGCATAAAAGTCCACATCTTTATTATCAAAGACAGAAATTTGTCAACACCTTCATGTGGTGTAGCTCAAAGTTGCTGAAGCCAAGCAATTTTGCAAATGATGGCTCGAGACATGCACTGTACCAGGATGAGGCAACAAGTGAGGTGTAGATAGAAAAGAGGGATGTATATCAGTGTGGAGATTATTATGTCTTAAGATATAATTTCATCTTTGAATGTATCGGTACTTTTTTTGTGTCCATTTTCCTTGTGTTTTGCCTTTTTTGTGTGAAAGCCTAACATAAGAGGTGTTTCCAAGAGACACTTAAATGAATAATGAAGTGCACACTTATGAACATTGGCCTTTTTGTGTAAATCTCTAACTTATATAGATGTTTCCAAGATGTACTTCAATGAATAATAAAGTGTGTAGTTATGAACTCTATTTACTAAAAAAACAGAAAATATGATTAACTAGATTATTCTTGGACCATTGGCATGCAACTGATGCTCATCTATATTTTGGCAGGTGTCCACTTTTCTTACCCACTGAGATCTGATGTGGAGATCTTAAATGGGCTTGATCTTACAATTGAGTGTGGAAAAATTACAGCACTTGTTGGACCTAGTGGTGCTGGAAAAAGCACAGTGGTGCAACTTCTTGCACGGTACTATGAGGTACTTCTGTGTATCCACATTAATGTTACAATGTTTCATAATTAGATCAACATCTCAGTTTTTATTCATTTCCCGCAGCCAACTCATGGTCGCATCACTGTGGCTGGGGAAGACATCCGTGTATTTGATAAAAGAGAATGGTCTCGAGTTGTATCCTTAGTGAATCAGGTATAGTGGTACATTATCTGTCTTTTTATACCACGTATCATCCTCCTGTCCTACATATTAATTGAGGTACACAAGTTTTAGTTTCTCTGGTAAAGTAGCATTTGGAATAGTATTTTGTTCTGGTGATATTCATTATGTGGTTGTAAGTTCATGTGAGAAGGGGGAACACAATATATTGTACCCAGTCTTTTGGTTTGCCATTAATTATTCTGATTAGGTATAGAGAACAGCTCTGTTAGTGGGATGTGTGGGACTGTCATCTCTAGCATATAGGTTTCAGTCCTTTTATTTAGAACTTGGGTGCTTGATCTTTTATTCATTTTGATGCAAAATTTATCATGGAATGAAAGATGATTCCACTTTTCTTTAATTATATTATTTTGGTATGAAAATTTCAGGACCCTGTCCTATTCTCAGTTTCTGTCGGAGAAAACATCGCTTATGGTCTTCCGGATGATGTTGTTTCCAAGGATGAGATAATAAAGGCCGCTAAAGCTGCCAATGCTCATGAATTCATTGTCTCTCTTCCACAGGTTGAAACAATATTTGTCATACATTTTAGTTGTAGTTCCTGGTGTCCAAATGATATGAGATATGACAGTAGTTTGATTCTCATAATTTGTTTGGGATTTAGGGCTATGACACACTTGTTGGTGAACGTGGCAGCCTCCTAAGTGGGGGACAGAGACAGGTAATTTGCTACTCCCTCCAATTGGACACATTGGTATAGGAACAAGATCTGTTGTACTTTCTAAACTTGGCTATCAATATCTTGGACTGGACCGTTGAAAGTGATACATGTGGATTGTTCTGAAAATCTCTTTTATAATACTGTAAATTTATTACTCTATGTAGATATATAACAGTGGAAGTTTGTAGTTTTCTTGGGCACTATGTCAGTGTCCCAAATATCACTCACTTTGTGACTTGAGGATACCTTAACATGTAAACACTCTCTTTGACCATATATGTTCACTTGGGGTCCATATGCTCAAGGTTTCAAAATATTGTCCCTGGGTATATGTTAAAATATATAAACTCACAATACAAAAACAGTATTGTTGGATTTGTTTTAGAAAATACATTCATTGTTTGTTATCATTACTACTTTACAATTATTTTGTTGTTTTGCAGAGAATTGCTATTGCTCGTGCTCTTCTGAAAAACTCTCCTATTCTAATACTTGATGAGGTATGTCCTACAAAAAGTTCGCAATTTTGTTGTTAGTTACTATTCAACGTGTCTTATATCATACCTACTTTTTACTGTGATGTCTTATACCCTACATAGCTATACAACATTTTATCTTGATAGGAGGCAAGCTTTAATTTTTGTGTAGTACCATTGACAGGCCTTGCAAAATGGGAACCCAGGCATAGCACATTTGGGCACGGCCTAATTAACCCACTTAATTAAGGCCATGTTTGATTCAGCTTAGGATTATTATAATCTAAATTATTAGTAGTAAGCTGAAACAAACAAGTAGATTTTTATGATAGATTATTATAATCTGTAAACCAGATTACTATAATTTAGTAATCTCCTTTGAAGGAGCTTTTTCCAGATTATTGGGTGGCTAAAGACCCACTACCCTCAGATGCCTTCAATAATCCAGAGAAACAAACAACTCGCAATTTATTTTATATTAGCTTATTATAATCCAGCTTAGAGTAATCTGATTTAATAATCTAGATTACAATAATCTTAAGCTGAAACAAATAGGACCTAAGTGCATTCTTTTTACCGTGATGTCTTATACCCTACATAATTATAGAGCATTTTATCTCAATAGGAGGCAAACCTTAATTTTTTTTGTATAGTGCCATTGACAGGCCTTTCGAAATGGGAACTCAGGCATAGCACATTTGGCCACGGTCTGATTCACGCGCTTAATTAAGTGGGCCAAGTCGCGCTAGCCACCAAGGTCATCCTTCGGCGAAGGCACAGTACAATGAAGTTCATGGGCTTTGTCATGCTCGCACAGCCACTGTTATATGCTCTATTGGAGTAGCCAATTCTGCTTGTCTGGACTAAAAAAATAGAACATACAAAAACACCTTGAAAATTATATGAAATCACAAAATAAATGTTTTGAGCTTATAAAATGCTGCGGCTCACGTTACACTAGTCTAGTTGGGCAAGGTTGTAGTGCAACCACAACTGATTAATCGGAATATCCTCATTAGGCTATGGACTATTCTTTCTTCCGCTGGTCCAACAGTAGCACACGGTGCACACCCTTGACCAGTCTGGCTAGCGGTCGCCCATTAGGTCATTTCTGGGCCCTGGCCATTGAAGTATAATCATGGGATGCCATCAGTGCCTTCAATGGTTTGCCTTCAACTGATGTTCAGCAAGTTTGGTTATTTTTGTTTAGCCAAGCAAATCAATGGTAAGTTGCATCAAACATACCAAAGAAATTAACAAAAACTGCCCTTTTGAGATTAATGATTAATTTGGTGTTGACTACTTAGTCACCCAGACCACAACTCATGCTAAAATGTATATCACCTTGCATTAAAATAAAAAAATATACTTACAGGAACAGTTAATGCCTGCAATGCTTCATCTGCGGCAAATTTCTTAGGTTTGGTTATATGTTTGTGTCTAGGGAAACTCAGAGAACATTCAAAACATGTGTTAGGGCCAAGATTCAGGTAAGCTGCTGGTCAATTTAAGCTGGCATCAAGTTTCAAGTTCAAAATTATTCTTGGGCTGAGGCCCTTGCTACCTGCGAGCCTCTAGTTTTAGTTTTGGACATGAAACTATGGGTTAATGTGACTGTGTGTTTGTAGTTGTACTAGAACAGTGGGGACGGAGACAAACTGACCAATATTGATGAACTTTGTTTTTGTGCATCCCAATATTTTTAAATTCAGAAGCTAATGGCATGCATTATTGTGTTGTTTTTGTCCAATGTTTTTGGATAGGTCTAATTGCATGTTATGCATTAGCTTTTTATCCCTCGTTTTTGGTCTGTCAGTGTTCATTTTGTACTCATTGAAGGAACTTGCGATGTTTTACAGGCTACCAGTGCACTTGATACGACCAGTGAACGGCTTGTACAGGAAGCTCTCAATCACTTGATGAAGGGAAGGACTTCTCTGGTGATCGCGCACAGATTGAGCACCGTGCAAAATGCGCATCAAATCGCTGTCTGCTCAGATGGCAAGATAGCAGAACTTGGGACTCATGCTGAACTGGTTGCTAGCGGTGGCCGATATGCGTCACTTGTTGGTACACAGAGGCTCGCATTTGAGTAAGCAACTTCAGAAAATTTCTGTTTCCCGAAAGACGTTGCCGACGAGCTCTCTCGACCATATTTTACATCATCTGACATAATATACGGTGATAGGTTTACGAAACACATGTACATGAATTACGAAAACCACATGTATCAAAGTTTACACTCAAAACACCGAAGGTCTCAATAGGCTGTGCTCACAAAATCAATGTTGTGTTCTGGAACCGCAGTTTCCCCTATTGTCCTGGGATGGCCAGCAATATTTTGTTTACGTTGTATTTACCTGATCTGTTACAGAAGATCCAAAAGAAATAACACCTCTTTTCCTTTTGGAAAGGAATAACCGTTATTTCCGTCGGATTTCCCGTGAAGTTATCATGAGTACAGAGGTTAGATAATAATGCAAGACCAATAATACAATTGCTGGTGAACTATGATGATGTTCAGATTCATTGTAGTAGAATATATCGTCACATTCGGTACGAGATTGGTTTATTTACTGACGGAGGGAGTGGTCATTTGAGTTGTTCTGTGTAGTAAAGAATAGACTACATTATGTAACTGTTGTATTGTCACTATACTTCCCTTTGACCACCTCCGTGTCAAGCAAGCAGTATCATGGCCATACCCAAAGGAAACGATGTAACAGTTCTATTGTCTCATTGTCAGACTTGCTTCCATTGGGCGAGAATCTGTATGGCACAAAACAGATCTGACTAATTTAATCACGCTCAAATGATTTAGACTTATCCAAACAGTGCGTGCGCACTATTTAATCTAATCGCGCGGCCAGTCTAGTGAGATTCAAGCACTGTTTCGTGCGAGCCGGACAAAAACACATTGATTGAACGTGCCGCACGCTACAGCTTTAAACTACGAGAGCATCCACAATGTAACGATTTGGTAGTAAGCATTAAATGTTCCTCTATTATCTAATATAGTAACTATTCTAAAACTAGTAAATAAATACTATTGGGTAATAATAGACTTGCTATGGACGATAGTGAAATAAACAAAGCTATTTTCATAATTGAGAGAGAGAAAAGACCGAGGCTTGGAAGCATCTACCTCTCCTTCCAAAAAAGAAATCCAATCCTTGCTATGAACATGAACATATGTGTGTCCAAGTTCGTGGTTAGGATTTTTTTTTCTGGAATGGAGTAGTAGCTCACGAGAGGGTGACTGATGAATATTTAATTTGTGGATTCCGCCTATATTTATCTATATACATTATACATTATGCAATATGGTTACAACTACTACTATATCTGAAAAATGATTCTGATCCTATTACCCACTTCGGTCAAATACCTTCTTGTTGCTATCACACGTAAGCAAAAAAAAGGCTGCACGTGAATTGATTTGATCTACATGAATACATAATATCATATTGCAGCACCATTACTAAAAACTCATTGCACCTCGTGCTCTTTTTTCGTGATGCCTACTGAAAAAATAGAACACCAAGATTAATAATGATTCTGTTGCGTCCCTCGGATGCTGTCCTATACAAAGGTACTTCCAAAATTTATATGAATTACTTCTATACTTTATTAATTTTATTTCCCAGATAAACTTCTGGGATGATTCCTCGATATCATGTACTCCTAGTTATCTACTTACCTTTGTTAGAGTTATCCAGCTTTGTGTTTTCATAGTAAAAGTAACTTTGGTTTTAGATAACAACTTTGTGTTATCATATCTTACTATAAAGCTGATGCCTATTACTTCTAAAGCTCAACATGCAAGTGTGTCACATCATCACTTATTACTCCCTCCGTCCTAAAAAGTAAGCATTTTTAGCTATGAATCTGGACACTTGTGTGTCCAGATTCATAGCTAAAAATGACTATATTTTGGGACGGAGGTAGTAGCAATTAATTTTAAATATCATGTAAATATGACATATCATTTACATTTTTTTTATATTTTTAGAACTCAATATGCAATTTATGTCAAATTATTATCTCCACATCATTTTTCAATTATTTAAACATGTACATATATCATTTCTGTATAACATACATTCATCCACATATCCAGCGGCAAAAGCGTAGGGTATCAATTAGTAATAGAAGTAACTTTGATCATAAATAATAAAAGCAAGTTTATACTCCCTTCGTCCCAGAATATAAGAAGTTTTAGAGTTTGACATAGTTATTAAAAAAGTAGGTAGAAGTGAGTGGTGGAGGGTTGTGATTGGATGAGTAGTAGAGGTAGGTGGGAAAAGTAAATGGTGGAGGGTTATAATTGGTTGGGAAGAAAATGTTGGTGGAGAAGTTGTTATATTTGGGACAAATCCAAAGAGCTAAAAGTTGTTATATTTTGGGACGGAGGGAGTAACTTGTTAATTTTATATAGAAGTAGCTTTGTTTTAGATGTAAGTAACCTCTAGTTACCATTCACCGAAAGCAGATCTAGAGATTTTTAGCAACAATTATATTTTGGGAAAATAATCAAATCAATACACTACAGGATTATGCATAAAGAAAAGAGATTGATGATCAGTATAATGTTTACATATTTTTTTTAAACAACATGCACCAAGATAGTGCTTTACCATCCTATCCGATCCATATGTGCCATAGTACTGCACATAATAATACTTTTTTTTAGTGAAATCATACACCAGGAAAGGAGCTAGTTGGTACAACAAAGGATAACCTGCCTAGGCGAATAAAATTTGCTGCTGGATACCGGAGTAATAATGGACTTTGTTTGCAGGACATCATAATATGTACTATAGGACACCATGAAAACTACTTCCTCCGTTTCATAATGTAAGTCATTCTAGCATTTACCACATTCATATGTATGTTAATGAATCTATATGGATATATATATATATATATATATATATATATATATATATATATATATCTAGATTCATTAACATCAATATGAATATGAGAAATGGTAGAATGACTTACATTGTGAAACAGAGGGAGTAGGTAATTAGTTGCTGGATACCGGAGACATTATTTTATTATATCCATGCAAATTAATAGAGAAACACCGTGGAAAGTACAAATATGCCCCCTAGGGATATCCGTTGGGAACTGTCCTTCTTCCTATTCTCCTTCGTGCTCCAGCTCAATACTGAGTGAAAGATATGATGGGTTTAGGCGGCGATGCTCCGGCAGCCAAATGACAATTGTGGCAGCGGTAGGGTGCGTCCCATAGGATGACGCTCCCATGGGAGGTGGCAATCGACAAGGAGGATGATGATTGCGGCCGAAATAAGAGCACTAGGGTTTTGGCCTTGGAGGAAAGAGGGAAAGGGCCGGTGATCTCCGGTGAGGATCTCGGCTAAGTGAGCACATCAAAATGCGTTCCCGGCAAGGGGGAACTCATTTTTCTGGGAACTTGTTGATGGAGTGTAAGTGGCTGGTGGCTGCATGAATTTCATAATTGAATTTGATTTATTTTAATTTTTGGTACTGGCACAAACAGGAGAATAGGATGTTTGAAAAATCCAATAAATACCAGCATGATGCAAGTTAGAAAAGGGATTTGATTATTCCAAAATTTTGTTTCTAGATTTTAAATTTAAATTATTTAGGATGTTATAAGAGATAGGCCATGGTGGCGGCGACGCTCACTGACTTGGGAGAGAGCCTCAGTGGCAGCGACGCTCGATGGAGTGAGGCAAGAGAGGGGCGGCACGTGTAAGGAGAGAGGAGGCGAATGAGAAGAGATAAGATCGAGAGAGGAGGCTCGCTCGGATCATTGGCTCGGCTACATCCTTATCGGTGCCTGTTTAAAATTAAAAACCGACAACTATATCTTCTTATAAATATCGGTTTATTTTAAAAACTGGTACATAGTGCACCACGCTAGAGCAATTTGGACAAAGGGGATAGAGAAAAGAGAGGTGGGAGAGCTGATATGTGGGTCCATGGATATTTTTTATATTTTACACAATTTCTCTGTCCCGATCAACAAAAAAAAAATAAATATTTTAATGGATACAGTATTTGCCAGTAAATATCTTAGTGTTTTGAGAGTGTCTTCCCTTTATTTTTTTTTACATTGTCATACATCTAAAACCACGATGTACTTTCATACCTTGTGTTGTGTGCTTCACCACATCACCACCAGCCGTCGTCATACATATTTGGGGAGTTAGTGAGTGGATAGGGAGGGAGATCGAGAAAGAGAGCTACGTATGGGTTGGCTAGTTGTCACATTGAATTGCCGATCCAATCTATTCTCCATAGTTCTAAAAAAAATAATCTATTCTCCATCCCTTAAGTTTAGGCAAGTTTCCTCGATTTCTTCTAGTAAAAAGCTATAGGCTCAATCAGGCGGCAGCCAATACTCGCTGGAGGAGCTTCTGTTTAAATAGCTTAATTAATTGTTTAAATATCATAGTTGTTAAGACTAGTAATTGGCATATGCCTAAATCTAGTATATTTATGTTGGTATTATAAGACATTTTGAGTTTTTAATAGATTTATGTATGGATCAATATATGTAATTTATATGTGTCCAAATTCATACGGATGTTTATAGAATTTAAATTATGCACTTCGTAGACATTCGTCCGTGTGAGAGTGAGATTCTCTACCATAATGCCACTACCTTTGTAGTTACTTATATATGGGTCCAACCCTCCTATTGCACACACATCAGTGGCTGTAATGGAAGTACCATTATGGTAGAGGATGTGAACCCCTCACGCGGATGGATGTCTACTTATTGCATAATTTAGATTTTATAAACATCCGTATGAATTTGGACACGTATATAAAATACATATATCGATCCATACATAAACCTATTCAAAACTTAAAATGTTTTTATAATAGAAACATAAATATACTAGATTTAGGGATATGCCCAATACTAGTCTTAACAACAAAGCTACTTAAACAATTAATTAAGCTATTTAAACATAAGCTCCTCCAGGGAGTATATATTGGCTGTCCCCAGATTATTGAGCCTACAGCTTTTTCCTAGAAATCGAGGAGACACTAGTCTAAACTTAAGAAGGGATGGACAATTTTTTTTAAGTGGTCCAACTGTTCCAACAAAAAACCAATCAACAAACTAGCCACGTACGCTAAGCAATGGTGCACAGTCGCACAATGCCTAAACCCACAGCCACAACCCCTTCTTTCTATAATTAGGCCATTCCCAACCCAAGACACTAGATATAGTTTACATAAACTCCATATCATCAAGAAACTAGTACTAGACACCACTCTTCCAATACAAACACCACTATTCAATCCTTAAATTTAATGCTATTTATCTCACATGATGTCTTAGATAGACATGGTTTCTTTTTCTTTTATCATTTATTCATTTGCCACATCATTTTTCATCCTAGGTGCAGCTTATTTAATGCTATGGACACTATCCTATTCATTGGGTTAGGAATAACCTTAGCATCAACTTAACTGAACCGAAGCTTGCCCGCTTCCCAAAACCAGAAGCGCTTGCCGATCCCTCATTAGCCCTTTCGTACCTTTTGTCGCTAGCTAAACAAAATTCTAACAAAACAATACGAGATGATAACACGTAAACATTTTATGGAGTTGACAGTCAGTACTCACCCTCTCCCCCCGCGTTGTCCACGCGCGGGCGACATGGGAAAATCCCTAGCCGCCCCGTTTTTCTGATGGAGCACACCGCCGGAAATCGGGCAACATGCTAGAATGGCAGGGGTGGGGTCATAACCCGACGATGCTTAGTCTCTAGTGCGGGGCAGAATGAGTTAAGCTAAAGCAGCGGCGACGCGCCCCAGCAGAGGGTGGTCGTCGATACGGCGCTGAAGCCACTAGATCCGGTCTCCTTGGCTCAGATCTGGCCAGGGTTGTAATCTGGGTGGCACGGCTGGTAGCGGTGCGACTGGCACTGCCAGTGGCAACTGGAGGTCACATGACACAGAGGTTGGTGCAGCGGGAGTGCAGGTCACGTGTGTCCACTGGTGGGAGGCAGGCGTGGCACGGGAGCTAGTGACGCGAGGCAAGAGTTGCCATGGCATGGGCAAGAGGATGGAATGGTTCAGACAGTGCTCTGGTAGGAGTTCCAATGGAGTCAGGGAGCAACGGGGTGAGGCGACAGTGATGGCGATCCAGACGGGCGGCCAGAGGCGGCGATGATGCGGCAGTCCGGCGTCGGTGGCGATGATGATGGCGCCATGAGGTGGGCATTGCAGGCCTGCAGCAGGCTCTGATTTAGATGATAGTCCTCTTGTGGCTTCACTTTGCCACCACAAGATGGTAAAGTTAGGTGGGCTAGTACGAGGGAGAGGCGATCCATTCTTCTTTCTCACCCTCTCCCTCTCTAACCAATTGCTTGGATGGATTTGGAGCGCACCGGATTGCGAGCTCCTAGCGATGAGGCACTAGCATGGTGGCCGCACACCGAAGGTGTGCATTTGGTCGTGGTCACTGTTTCTGGGAAGCAACCTCAACAAGGGAGGGCAAAAAGATTACGGGCGAAAGCCCAACCCTTTGGGCCAGCAATGACGACGCATATGGGCATCCCTTTCCTCTTGGGGCATTGTTTACGTGAACTTTCCTGCCCTTTTAGATGGATTTCTTCAGGGGAAAACCACGTCCTGGCACCTCAAGGCGAGTGGCGGTAGCACTCTCGATATTGCATCTTTCGTGGAGGTGTCATTCAGAAGATCCTTTCCGATGTCGTGTTCTGCTTTGATCTTCAGTGGCGGGTTTAGGCCTTAGATACGTGGTGGCTGTTTTTTTTCTTTTCTTGGCTATAGCCTTATAGGGCTGTGGACCTATATTTTTTACTGCTCTATCAATATGAAACATAATTTTTATTTTCGCACTCTGTTTGGTGTAACCATCTTATGGAAGATAAGAAAAACCAGGTGAACCAGCATATGATTAATTGAAGCTCCCATCGGATGGCCTATTCAGCCAAAGAAAAAGCCAAAATTTGAATTTTCAAACTTAATTTTGACATTGATTTTGAGATATTTTCAACGTAGTTTCTTTTTCAGCATTTGCTTTAATTTTAAGTCACCGAGAACACATATATAAAAGTTTTACCTACAAATTCATTTTTATTCTCTAATAAGCCGTTTTAGCTTATTACGGAAAAAGCCAACCGATGAGGCCCTGAGTATTAATTATTATAAAATTAAAAAAATAGATTAATAATATTTTTTCAATTAACTTTTCTATATGAAATATTTGGAAAATAATATGAAAGCATCAGCAAGGAAAACGAGTGAATTTTTATCCTTATCTTCTCCTAAAGATCGAACGCTAAACATAACTATTTAGTTGTTCAAGTCATGTTGTGACGGTGAAAGTTTCTGGGTCATTTTTCCCCTCAATGAGATTTGACTCATCATACAATAATGAATCTGAACAGATGCCCTGTGCAGATTCGTTGTCCTAAAATGAGTTGAATCCTATTCCATATAGCAATATTTTGGATGAAGAAAGTGTTAGAATAATTGGGCTAGGCCCAATTTATAATATTAAATCTCAAAGGCCCATAATAAATGTTGAGGATAATAATACCACCTCAGGATTTAAGCGAGAAATATCTCAACCTAAATAGGGAGTTATTAGAGGCTCCCTGTTGACCAGTTGAGGTGGGGGTCGGAATGCCACACGCGCGCGCGCGCGCCGGGCCGGGCCGGGCTGGGGCGAGGGCGAGGCGTGGCTGGCGGCGTGCGTCACGTCGCTATCCTTTTGCAGCCACTAACCCACGTTCCCACGATTCCCTCCACAACAGCGCGTCCACGTTCTTTCTCCTGATAGATAAGGAGGCCGCGAGTCCCACGTTCCCACGATTCCCTCCGCAACAGCGCGTCCACGTTCTTTCTCCTGATACACGTTCCCACGATTCCCTCCGCAACAGCGCGTCCACGTTCTTTCTCCTGATAGATAAGGAGGCCGCGAGTCCGATCCGACTTCTTCGCTTCTTTTCCCGGTGTTAGTTTCTCTTTCTCTGCGCCTGAGTTGCTCTCGCTTCCCCGCTTCTGATCTCTTGCGCGCACGAGAGATTGGAAGGAGTAGTGCCTCCGAAACCACACCTTCGCCTGAGATCTGCACCGGGTAGGCGGGTGATCAGGTTTTTGGGGAGTGCCTCCCGCACGACTGCTCATCGCCATGTCTGGAGTTGCTGCCGCCACTGCTGGCGGAGGTGGTACGCTGCCGCCGACAGGAGCTGGATCTGGATCCGGAGCTGGTGCGCCAGGAGGAGGAGCTGGTGCGCCAGGAGGAGGTGCCGTGAACGACTACAACAACGGAGGCAATTCTGCCTCACCATCCAGCGGAGGGCCATTCTCGGGGTATAATCTTCTCCTCCTGCTACTGCTGTTAGCGCTATTCCTGTTCCCATTGTTAGCGCTATACTATGTGCGCTATGTTCTTGTTCCTATTCTACATGATGCCTCTAGCATGTTATCGCGTTACTGGTATGTTCCTGTTTCTGACATTCATGATGCGCATAGTATGCTACTGGTTATGTTAAGATCACCCTACCCTACACTGCTTATGTCATGATCATTGTTTCATTTTCTTGGATTAAAATATGCCGATTAATGACTATATTTGCAACAGAAAGTAGTAATTAGCCGTTCTGAAAAGCTTAATAATAACGCACCAGTCTAGCTTGGCATGGCTCACGACAACGACATAAGATATGCTATAATTGTTTAGTTTGGCTAGCGGAACAAGGTACTATCTGAGATTTGTACAAATTAAAGCTCCAATTCATGTGGTAAACGTGCATGCATATTCCAGCTACCCTGTCAATCATTTCCAGGCTTGTTGGCCGGCCTGTTCCAATATCCCCCATATATATATATATATATGCGTATTTCTCTTATCCCATTATAAGTGAGTTCGCGCTTCCTCTAGTCATGAGACACTTCCTGATCAAGGTAAGCTCAGTTGGTGGGTTCTTCAATTAATTATATATCAATGTGCGTGCTCTATCCATCCTGTGCAACACAAAACATTTTTTTTTCTTTTTATCGGAAGTACAACCTCCTACGTCTGCACTAACTAGAATTGTGCATTGTCACAAATTTGTAAGCATCGGAAATTTAAACTCTGGAGGCCGCACATACAGATCATATATTTTAAACTAGGAATGAGTATAATGCATAATGCACCCTCCTGACATGCCTATTTGTGTTTTTGTAAATGTTTCAACTAGTATTGAACATCTGAATGATTTGCTATTGGAAGCAAAATGTTGCAGCAACAATTTCAATCGTTGCAACATTTTCCAAAATCAAGTCCATAAAGGCAGTTACCAAAACCGAAACAACATTTCCAAGTTCCCAACAATTTGCCCATTTTAAGATATACCCCCCCCCCCCGCCCTCCCCAAACTAAATTTAAACCAAATAACCTAGACCTAATTCATCTTCATTTGTGCAATACACAGCTAACTCGACGCTCAATTCCATTGGCAAGCATGGATCAGCTTACAAGTAGCACCGTGTTCTGGCTCACCACCGCCGTAGCTTTCCTGCTGATCAACACGGTCATACTGAGAGCGTTGCAGAAGAGAAAGAGCAGCCCGGCCGCGGCGGCGGCGGCGGCGCCGCCGCCCGTTGTGCAGGGAGTCGGTCTTGTACGGTTCGTGCGCGCCATGGCGAGGGACGGGCCACTGGAGGCGATCCGCGAACAGCAGGCGAAGCTGGGGAGCGTGTTCACGGCGAGCGCACCGTTGGGCCTCTTCAAGGTGACCTTCCTCATCGGGTCGGAGGTGTCGAGCCACTTCTACGTGGCGTCGTACTCGGAGATCAGCATGGGCAGATTGTACGAGTTCACCGTGCCCATCTTTGGGCCCGGGGTCCTCTATGGCGTGGACCTGGAAACCAGAAAAGAGCAGATACGCTTCAACTGGGACATTCTCAAGCCACGTAGCCTCAAGGCCAGTGTAGGTGCCATGGCTGAGGAGGTCGAGGTAATTTAATTTTTAATTAGTTTTCACCTTCAACTTATTAACCAACGTGTGACTCGAGGTAAACTCCGAAGTCAACACCGTGTCCCTTAACATTGTTTTATAAGTCATTCGGGAGTTAGTGCATGTCAACTTTTAAACTGGAGTAACTCCTGATGTAAAATTAATAAAACTTATTTTCTTGATTGGGTTATATCATTTCGTCCTCTTTCATCTTTGGATGAATGACTGTTCTTTATTATTGTAGAACTACTTCTCAAGATGGGGAGATCAGGGTACGGTCGATCTGAAGCACGAACTGGAGCAGGTACTGATGCTGACCGCGAGTCGGTGCCTGCTGGGAAAGGAGTTGCGAGAGAGAGCGTGCCAGGCAAACTATGCGAGCTCTTCGGTGAGCTTGACAATGGCTTGCATCTCATCAGCGGTCTGCTCCCATACCTCCCGATCCCGGCGCACCGTCGTCGTGACAGGGCACGCCAGAGGCTTGGGGAGATAATAACCGAGGTGATCAGGTTACGCAGGAACTCCAGCCGTGGTGCTGCTGGCACTGACGAGAACAACGATGATATGTTGCAATGCCTCATCAACTCCAGATACAAGGACGGGTGCGCCATGACGGACGCGGAGATTGCCGGTCTGGTCGTGGCGCTCATGTTCGCGGGGAAGCACACGAGCTCCGGTGTAAGCATCTGGACCGGTGTCCACCTGCTCTCTAACCCAAACCACCTCGCTGCCGTCGTCGCTGAGCAGGATAGGTTGATGGCTTCGTGTCCTGGAAGAACCGATGACTATCATCGCCTCGACTACGACACAGTGCAGGAGATGAGATCTCTGCACTGCTGCGTCAAGGAGGCGCTCCGGCTGCACCCGCCGGTGGCAGCGGTCCGTCAAGCTTACAAGCACTTCACTGTGCAGACCAAGGAAGATAAAGAGTACACGATCCCAGGAGGGCACATGGTGGTTAGCACGATCTTGGTGAACCACTACTTGCCCCACATCTACAAGGGACCCTCATGTGTTTGACCCTCAAAGGTTTGCGCCTGGTAGGGAGGAAGACAAGGTTGCTGGCCGCTTCTCTTTCCTCTCCTTCAGTGCTGGGAGGCATGCGTGTGCAGGTGAATCCTTTTCGTACACGCAGATTAAGGTGTTATGGAGCTATTTGCTTAGCAACTTTGAGATCAAGATGGTATCCCCTTTCCCTGAGACAATGGAGCACGGTTATTCCAGAGCCTAAGGGAAAAGTGATGGTTAGCTACAGGAGACGTACGGCACCTAAATAGTAAATAAGGGCGTAGGTAATTGTTTTAAGCAGCCGTCACTAGTAAATAAAGAGAATTCATAATAGTTCAAGCGACGCTTATTTATATAACGTAATCTCCATATTATGTATAAACAACACTACTAAAGTTGTAACTACAATGGTCCTAATTGTACTGGTCTACAAAATAAATGAAATAATTCCCCTTTTCTCATCACCTCTTTTACTCCCATGACCCTCAAACTTCAGAACACCTTTCATCTATTATATATGGCCTTTGATTTGTCACACCCAGGACCCTCAAGACCATCATGGTCCTTCCAACCTTGGTAACTAATTAAGAAGGCACAACTAATTAAACAAATTGCAAGGATACGGGAATTGAACTGATCTACGTTCACCATGTGAATTACTTTGTGATTTGAGAATGACAATACAAGAAACCGTGCGCATGTAAATCCAAAATTGATCATTTCAGCTATGGATGGAACATGCATTATTACTTAATACCTCTTGCTCATTGACACCTTCGATGCAATATTATTTTCACCCTACTTCAATAATATATATCAACGTCACTCTAAATTTGTCATATACTCCCTCCATTCAAAAGTTATAGGTGTATTTCACTTGTCACCAGGACTAAGGAGAAATTAACTCATCCTTCATGTAACAACAACCAAAGAGTTGTATGCATGCATGAAACCAACAAGTATTAACATGGCTGCTCAGATCAATAATTTAATCTAGCACTAAAAAACGAAAATATAATCTTTTTGTTTGTTAAGTATTGAATGCATTGAGACTACAAATATGACCATCTTACTTAGAAAAACATTCCACTGGATCAATACTTGAAATGCACCCTTCAAGAGTCACACCGGTAAATATTTATGACTGGTTACAAACCTTGTAAATTCTTTCTATTCGATTGTTTCTCTGTAACTCTGTAAATATTTTTTGAGTTTTATAAAATTAACACTGCTGGGCAAAGCCCTGGCAGTATTCCCAGTCAAAAAAAAAAGAGCCGCACTAGTAAGGGTTTCTTAGGCGCTGATGCCACCGCGCCATTGTGTATCAAGGGCAACATTGGTGGCAACTCTGGTGACGATCCGACAAATGGCTTCAGGACACCCACATGGAACACATCATGCATGCACGCTCGAGGTGGCAGATGAAGATGTACCGTGACCTTATTGAGTTTCCCCTTCTTGTAGGGTTCGTAGAACCTGGGCTTTAGTTTCCCCTTCTGGCCTTCGGTGAGTGATGTCGGCATGTGGTGGCGCAGGCATGGCCATGCCCAATCACCAACAGAAAATGGCACAGGGGCCGATGGCCACGATCGTATGCCTTCTTGGCCACCATATGTGCATGTTCAAGTTTGCTGCGGACGTCGGCCAGGAGTTCATCATGTGCAGCCTTGCTGTATGCCACCACAGCCACCTTGGTGTCCACGGCCTCGTACGAAAGGATGGTCGGCGGATCACGATAGTAGACGATCTTGAATGGCGTTTCCTTAAGAGCCGTCCGGTAGGAGATGTTGTACATGTATTCTAACAAAGGGTGTGACCGAAGCCAGTGTCGCAGCCGGTCTAGTGAAGGTACACCATGATAACTTTGTTCACCTTCTCAGATTGGCAGCACGTTTGTGGATGGAACGCTGTGCTCATGCGTATCTTGGTGCCAGCTGCTGAGAACAACGTCCTCTAGAATGTTGAGGTGGAGACGGGGTCATAGTCGCAGACGATAGAGATAGGGATGCTGTGTAGATGAATGATGTCGTTGAAGAATGACATGGTGACAGACTCGATTGGCATAGTATAGGTGCAACATCAGGATGAAGTGGGCATACTTGGAGAACTTGTCGACAAACATGAGGATCACAGACTTGCCCGCCACCTTTGGTAACCCCTCAACGAAATCATGGCAACAGTAGTAGGCCAGGCAGTGGGAACTGGCAATGGTAGCAGTCGACCAGCTGGGTGTAGTTGATTTGTCTTATTGCATTTATATGGGAGGCACACAGCGATTTCATCCTGAATCACCCAGCGAGCTTGCGGCGTGCGGAAGTTCTTGTTGAATTGGTGCAACATCTTCTTGATGCCCTCATCCCTGTCTACATGAATACCGTCCACAATCGACACTAGGAGGGGCGACGAGGATGGCACATATAGCCAGCATCGGAATGTGCCAAGGCCGTCAACTAGCGCCCACGATGCGGCGAGAGAGCTAGCCAATAGTTCATCCATGAGAGCGTAAAGCACTAGGTCGGAGTTCATCTCCACTTGGAGCTCGTTGACGAGGTTGAAGCTTTGTGGGGACATGCCATGGAGGGCTGGCATGTCATCGTTGTGTGCGTGGTGTGACAGGGCGACGAAGGCGACATAGAGGCGACCTAGCTTGTACTTCACTATAAAATCAAATCTGAGAAGTTTACTCACCCAATGGTGCTATGGGATTGTGGCGAGGCATTAATCAAGGAGGAATTAAGGTTGTAGTGGACCATTTTCACCACGAACATCCGTTCCCACAAGTATGGCCGCTAGTGCCGAACTGCCTGCACCAAGCCGATGAGTTCGCACTTGTATGCCACCAACCCTTGGTGTCGTGATGAGATTGACCAGCTGAAGAAGACGACAAGCCCAACACCTTGATGGAGGATTGCCCCAAAGACTGAGCCCGACATGGCACACTAGATGACTTACAACATGGTAAAGTCGGGCAGCGCTAGGATTGGCCCCAACATGAGCACCATCTTGAGGGTGGGCAGAGGGTGCACGGTTTTTCCTACATAACTGTTGATGCGAAAAAAACACACTGCCCTGGGAGGTCTGCTTAACTCCAGTGCAGGTCCTAAATCTTGCTCTTGGGTTCAAAGGCGTGCCAGTTGATTTGATCCTACAATCAACAAGAAAGAAAGACAAGAAAACTGAGGTTAAATCCATAAACGATAGCCGATCGGTTAGGAGCCGATGACATATCATCAATCGTTGAGCCGATGTTATTGGCATTAGATCGGCAATTCAGAATAAAGCAATATGAAGTTAGGTCTACACGATCGGCTGTAGAAATCAACGATATATAATCCTTTTCTCGAAATATATTTAAACTAAGTTATTGGGATAGATCGAACAGTAAGTCGAGACAGTATAAATCACTTATGCTTAAAAGTACTTTAAGATAATGATTATACATACGTTTATAGCATAGCCGATCAAATAAATCTAACATGTATCGGCTAATACTCCGATACCACTCTATATTAAGATATCAAAACAGACAAAATATATCAAACAGAGGGCTTAATATACTTTAATGTAATAAGATCTTAATACAAAGGGCAGATTTAGCGTATCAAGCAAGCATATAAGGTATAAAATAGCTAAATTAAATAAGATCGGCTGAAACCCCGATACTATCTCTATTGGTAATCATAAAACGAGTTAGATATTGCAGTTATGAATATTACTTAATAGATCGAACTCAACTGATGCAGCATTAAGCATAAGAATAAATACAAGATCTGGACAAGATGATGAAAACCTCTAAGAGATAGTAGATATGCCCTATAATCTAAATTAACAGCAAAATCTAACTATATTGGCTACTCTCCAATGATAGATATCAACCGACTACAGGTTAGATTGTGAAACTAATGAAGATTATGAAGCATATATGATAACTCAACGATTTACATAAATAAGATTAGAGTATCATAATGATGGAAGCACTAATCCCGAGAACACAAGTGTTGGTATTTCTTAACGACATTACTAGAAATATAATTCCCAGCAATGGCGCATAAATAGTTCTGGTATATTACGGTTACAGAGTTCATCCGCAAGCGCATGGATATACCATTGTAGCATTTCACCTGAGAGTATTCGAAGGGTATCGTATTTATTTTATCCCATGGGAAGATCATGTAGAGAGAACTCAACTAATAATTTATATATTACTTGTGATAATCATATTCTAAGCAGGGGTTAAGATAATCTAAGCGTAGAGTGACACACAAGCATTAACTACTCATTCTCATAATATATCATCTAAGCTAGGTGGAAAAGAAAAGAGAAAGAAAATCTATTCCTATACTTCTAATATACATATAACTGATATACTAGCTAATACCCTCTATCCGATACCCTCCTGGTACTTCGAGAAGCCACCCCTGACTGCCGAGTTCCTTACGACAGCCCGTCATGACCATACAACCAGGGCTAAATATGGAGGAATACCCTCCCCAGGGAATTAACTTAGGATTATATACCGGTGCGGAGGAATACCCGTATTGAGCTGTCACCATCAGCGGCCCACCTCTCATCCGCAATATATAACCCCAAATAATGATATCCCGTAATCTAGACACCACGCCTAAACTTCCAGATACTACTCTAATATTATCGTCATGACATAGAGTAATTGCATAAGCAAACATTATACCTGCACCAAAGCATCTCCCAGATAAGCTAGCCGTATATTCAATATAACACGAACATAATGTAAAGTAAGTACTCATATACTCGGAAAGTATTTCAATACCATAAATGTATTTAGAAGAGTATTCTAATGAAAGTACAAAGCTTACAAAAGAGAAGAGAAAAGCTACTAGAGCCATACCCGAACTCTTCCGGACTCCTGATTTCTACTTTATTCCTATTCCACCAGCTAGATACTACTAAACTAAACTTGAGAGAAATGAGAGAGCTATTGCTTGAGGTGTGTGAGTGAAGTGAGAAGGTGAAATCCTTATATAGTCTGCCAATGACGGTTGTGGCAGTTGGAATGGTCAGAATTGCCCTCAAACCATCATTGGGGAGTGATCCACGCCGTCCAGCCAAAACCTGGATCCAACGGTGCCAGGGGAGGTTCGGCCGAACCAGGAGTCGGCCCATCCTGGCCCGAAATCAGCAGGTGGCCTCCTGAACTTCTCCACTCCACAGACTTGTGAATTTTGGCCCAATTCATCGTGTCAATTCTAAGTTCTTGGCCTATTCATACATATGTCTGGTTCTCGACATCGTCCGATTGATTTATCGTCTGAGTTGATGTCGATTCTCCTCCACTTTATTGTCATTCTCTGCAAAAGGTTAGTATACCTAATAGTAGTGGAATATTATTATTCTAACAGATATATGCATTGCAAGCATCACTAATTCTCCTCTATTTTGATAATATTGATGGTCGAAACTGATCGATAACAAACG